TATGTAGCTATGTGAAAGAGAGCTGAGGCAATAATCAAACACTCTCTTTTATGTGTAAAGAACCGTGCATTTGGACACATGAATTATAAGTGTACATACCTGACCAAGGCTACACTGTAAAAAATGTCCTCCTACTTCAAACTTAATTTCAGTTGCTGCTTTAAAATTTAAGTATAATCAAATTGGCTGTACAAGTTAGTTGAAAATTAATTTGATGAATTAAAGTAGTGGAAAAATGTATGCTGACTTGACTTACTGATTTTTTTTTTTTTTTTTTTACATTGTACATTTATTTGATTCAAAATACAGTATAAATATTTTTTAAACTGTATTTTTTTTCTTATGATGGCAAAGCTAAATTTTCAGCATCATTACTCCAGTCTTCAGTGTCACATCAGGGCTCGCAAAATTACTAGCCCGACGTCCCGGGGCTACTATGTTTTCCAGTCGGGCTACCTAAATGTATCACCGCCCTGCCCAACGGGCTATCTTGAATAGTGATATAAAATTCCTAACTTGATTCGCGTTGTTCACTCGCTTGTAGGGGTGAAACGGATCGTAGTTGATCATTTTGGACTTGTTTCTAAGTCTTGCCGATTTAAACATTCAAGCGTTTTAAAACATTTGCGCACATTCGGAGCTAACGTGCTGGTTTCTGTGCACACTCATTTAAAGTGCACACAGAGAGCCGCGTTTCAGACAAGGATATGTCTGAAACGTTTTCAGGTAGGATATGCATTCAGAAGCATATCCTTGCTTCTGAATGAACCCATATACACAAAATTCTCAAAATAATTGTCTCTGCAAGTATTCACGTAAACACAGTCGGTTATGTCATAAGTGAATGTAAACCGTGGAGAAACAAATCTCCTGTGCATCATTATGCACGATATATTGGATTCGTGCATTCGGTCTTAAAGGGGCAGCAGCCTATAAATACTTGCTGTTCCATCAGTGCCACCTGCTGTCAGAGAGTGACATTTACTTCTCATTCACAAATCTAAAATCAGACCATTCTGTTCTTGAATAACAATAATTGGTTTTTGATCCAATTAACATGTATTTAGCATCTTTTTTGGATAGTAATTCAAATGATTTTAGCACAGGCAAAGCCTTTGTTTATATGAAGAGATTTCTTTTAGTTGCATAATTTTTTTTTTTAAGTTAGTTTTATTATTTAACATTTCAATTTCACAAAGAAATATGCAGCATTTTGTCTGAGAAATAATAAAAGGACACCTTTTAATTTATAATTTGTATTAAATCTCATTTTGTAAAAAAATTAATTGTATCGTGAATTTTATCGCATCGTAAGTTTAGTGAATCGTTACATCCCTATATGCTACTAGTTTTTGCTGATCATGCTGATTTGTCCACAGTAAAGTCCAGCCGATGTCTTTTTTTATTCGGGCTAGTTAAATTCATTTTGGGCTACCAAAACCTGAAGAATGCCTGCCCGAAGGGCTACCAGGGATTTTGAAATTTTGCAAGCCCTGCACATGATCCTACAGAAATCATTCTAATATGCTGATCTGCTGCTCAAGAAACATTTCTTATTATTATCAATGTTGAAAACAGTTGTGATTCTTGTTTCAGCATTCTTTGATGAACAGAAATCTTGCTGAATAAAAGTATTCATTTCTTTTAATTGAATTTGATGATTTTAATAAATGATTAATGATTCATTGTGAATCATTAACTACACATTGTCATTGTCAAGTCTCACAAACCTTGTTTATTTTCGAAATGTACATAGTGATCAAAATTTGCAGTTATGTAAGTCTGAGTTTGTCATACTGATTCAAATCGGTAACTTGTGAGTTTGTGAGACTTTCTGAATGACTCATTAACCACCTCATAAGAGTCCTTTGTTTGGGGAATACTGGTTGCTATGTATGTTTTGTTTGTTTGCGTGCAGCTCAATAGGTCAAGAAAAAGATGTTTTCTTGACGTTATTTTAGTAGGACAGTTTCTTTACACATCCATTTCAGACTGCAAGCTTACAGTTTAGATAACCATTGGTGTGTGTGTGTGTGTGTGTGTATACCTACTTAACCATATGTTGGTTGGACAAATTTGTACCTAAAAAGTTAACTAAACCTGAAAAAAACTCCAAAAAACTCAGTTTGGGTATGTCTTTATTATTAAAACTGGTATAAAGTTAATAAAGTAAACTTATTTTTTTTTTATTGTTAGGATTAGCTTATAAAATCTATAGCTATCTGTATATAAAAAGAATAGAAGTCTATGTAATGTCCCCATTTAGACCGCTAAGTAAACGTGTGTGTGGACCCAAAACCAAACATGATATATACAGTGGGGCAAAAAAGTATTTAGTCAGCCACCAATTGTGCAAGTTCTCCCATAGAAGAGTGACAGGAAATAATTATGATCTCTCAAAGAACCTGAGGAAGGTTCATTTTGATGCAGAGTAGGGGTGCTCCGTTTGATCGGTTACCGATCACTATCGGCCGATAATCACGTTGGGATGATTGATCGGCGGTCTCTAAAAGGCAGATCTCAAAAAAACGATCTCAAACTGATGACGTTGCCATGAGAGGTTTGGCATGACATGTAGCGGCACCGTCTCAGTCTCTGTCCGGTGTGGGTGAAATAATTATAATGCTGAAGGTGAGGTACTATATTAAAGTTGTTTCATTAAATAACTTATAAAGTAATTTGAAAACCTTGTGTGAGACGTAATTTCACAAACAGCGTGAGTGAGTCACCACGCACGCGCTCTCTCTCTTTCTCTCTCAAAATACGCAAATGGCTTGAAATCACCACACGTCGCGTCTGTCTATAAGCGAGCTGCACACTGCACAGTTGACACAGGAATTGTCACTTGCACAGTCGAGGCAGTGTCACATCGTCACTAAAGTTTATAAATTGCATTTCTTTTTAATTCTTGCCAGTGTTTAACCATTCAGCACTCGCGCACACTCCAGGAGACCGTACGCTCATGCACACTCGCAGTGCACACACATAACGCTAGGTTCACATTACATTGCGTTCAGGAGCGGTGCGTCTGCAGCAGTGCAGAGATCGTTTCCGCACCGAGTCTATTTTTTCTGCACTGCAAGTGATGAATTAAAGTAACAGCGCATTGTTTGCAGTAAATATGAACATGGATTGACACGAAAATGTAGTAATTACACCATAAATACATATTGTTAAAGTCTACCATGTTTCACAGTCAACACATATGGCTTTTTGGCTAGGTTTAAAGGGAAAGAGCACTTTTAGATAAACAAGGCAATAATCGATGGCGCTCGTGGAGGTAGGAAAACAAAGTTCTTTATAAACCGCAGGATGGCTTGTAATAAAGATCTAAATGCAAACGAAAAAGCAGTAGAGCTGTCTATTTCTGTCAATGGTAAATTCATGATAATGTAAGAAAAGTAGTTTAAATGTTTTAAACAAAAAAAGAATTGCAATGCTGAAAAAGCATTTTCAGTGACAATGTTTAGATTTGAAATCAAAATAATGGATAAATGTGTTTGTAGTAAACAGGATCAGCCACGAATCCGTAGCAAGAGTCACCTAAGAGGGGAATTCCCCCCATTTTCAAAAATAAAATTCAGGCCCTGAATAAATGTCTAAAAATCCTGATTGGATTATCACTATAAATAGTTATAAATTATAAAAAGAAGGCTTTAAAAAGATCAGTATCGGTGATCGGTATCGGCAGATACTGCTTTCTGTGATCGGCGATCGGCCTCAAAAATCCTGATCGGAGCACCCCTAATGCAGAGCATCCACACGCTTTAATGTCAAATTTACACGCTTTAATGTCAATTTTGATGTAGAAATCGGACTGAAGTACAACTGCACTTCCCCCAGGCCTGTGTTTGCAACTTCCTCTTCCTCTCACGGACGATTACATGCCTTGAGCACAGGCTCTTTCAAACCAGCACAGCTAACAAGCCACACACACACACACATATGAGTGGGAAACGGGGTGACGGAGATGGAGGGAGTTGTGATGCAAAAACTGCACCCAATGCAGAAAACAAACACAAATTGATAATCGATGCAAAGCCTTGCAGCAACAGCAAGTACAATTAAATACCATTTTGTGGTGTAACTCAGATTAATAAGCATTACTGTCTATTTAAAGTTCAGAGAGCTATAAACACACTCACATTAAAACGAACTGCATAAAATATAACAACACTTTTCAATCTGGTGTTCCTTCAACTCAGGGAGCCTTTTGATTTTGTTATGCAAAGATCACATTCAAAAATACTTTTTCCCCTACCTATTATATTTTGCTACTTTGAATGCTTTATATGAATACATTTAGCTTTTTTTTTTTTTATCTTGACCCACTTTAAATCTTAAAACATGAAAATCCTACAAAAATAGTATTACTTAAATTATTACTAAATTATTAAACTTACTACATTACTATTGCTAAAATTACAATAATGTAAAATAGTGAAATAAACTATTTCAATATTGATTGTTTGAAAATGATTTATGTAAATTTTTAAATGACGACTGAACCACATTGTGGCATCATTTCCACAGCACAGAATAAGATGACCCATCATTTCCAATTAAGCTGTAATTTTGTTAAATTATGAAAAAAAAAAAATGAACAAAAAATAATTTAATTGAGTGACATTAAATTAACCTTAACATTAACCTTAGCAAGACAGGAGTCAGACTTTTTTTTTTAACAATTTTCACCACAGAAAGCTATTAAACTCAACATCACTTGCTGTGTAAAAGTCCACAGAGCTAACAAGTGGCCATAGTTGAACACTCAATTACGTAAATTTAAAAAAGAAAATCTATCACATTACATGCGGAAGGACTGTTATAGAGTTCTTCGCTTTCAGACACAGAGTATATGCAAACTGCTTCGCTGTCACGCTACATTAATCATGCATTGTGAGTAAAACACAGCTGACATTAATTCACACTTTGGATCATAAAGAGACTAACCATAATCACATAATGACATAATTGTCTGCTGTATATTCAGTGCATACCTGTTGAACTGAGGTCAGAGTGTGTGAAGGAAGGCGGCCTCGTATCATACAGCACAGGGGCTCCAGATGAGGGGAGGAGCTTGAGGTCCCGCCACAGAAACCTGTTACTCACGCATGCTCCCTGTAACATACAAGACAAGCGTTAGAGAGATTAGGTCGTGCAACAGTAACTCTACACTAACAGCATTTAACAGGCCACTAGGCTGTTTAATCACGTTGGCTGATAATCTTCGTGAATGATCATAAATCTACAGTTTTGTCAGTGAATAATGCATATTTTGAGTAAATATGATTAAAATTAGAATTCATCTAAATTAATCAGTTATTTCTACAAGTACAGTGGGATTCAAAAGTCTTGTGTGCAATCTTAAACCTACTTGTGAAAATGCATTTTTGCCATTTTTAGTCAAATTTGTATTTAACTATAATATAAATTTACATTTAAATTAAGTTTAAATTAATATACACATTTTAAAGTCATACATTTCTTGTTTTAAATTCTTCAGAATATTAAAAACTACATATTTTCAGGTTTAAGTTCAAGTTCAGTCCCAGTTTCATCCCATAATTTTAATGTGGACTATAAATATAAGAAAACAAACATACATAACCTATATATCTACATATAGAGAGAGAAAATGAAACATGAAATAATTTTCAAAGCTCTAAGCCTCTAACCCCATGTCACATATAACACTTTTTTTTATTTAATTCTGTTCAAATACAAACTATTACACTAAATAATTAGACATTAATTGCCTGTTGTTTATCAAAATGTCTCATAACATCAGTAGCGTTTTATCAACTTTATGGTGAAAATGGATACACTAATTAAAAAGTAAACAACTCAGACACTCGAAAACCATCACTTTTAGTCACATCCAAATTAAAATAAAGCTCTAATGACTTTAAACAAGAAATGATCAGTAAATAAGCCCGTTTTTAGCAAATCAATAGCAAATAAAGGTACCCCCCTTGTGCCGCCACCATCTACAATCGCACCCTTGTGAATCATCAGATGCAGCATTTCAGACAAAACCCAAGACTTTCTTTTGTAAATGCAAAAACTTATGGCTATGTTAAATATGTAATCTCTAAAAATTGTTTAGCAGATGTCCCACATTTTCCTTTTAAAAAGGTTTCAAGGGAACTAAAGAAGAATGACCACATTGACTGGTGATTAATGTTCAGACTCATGGGAAATCAGAAATCACTCTATGAAAATGAAGCAGCCGCATGCAAATCTATCAAATGAAGAGCAAAGTCATGGTCGGAAACGACTACAAGATTATTTCAGACAGTCTCTCCTCCTCTAAGCTGGTGCTCTTTCCAGCCTAATACATTCTTTTCCTTTCCTTCATTAGCTCCCTCTCCTGCATCTCAACTGAAGTGTTCACGCATTGTGTGTGAGTTTGTAGAGATGATGGAGTCAGAATCGGTTATTCCAGGTTATTCTAATACGTGCGGCTCTGGCGTACCGCATTCTAAGCTAAGATGAATAAATGATCAGCATGCAGCCCAACATCTCTATCAGATGGAGAGTGACACTCGCACACACAGTGGGGTCTTGAGCAAGGTGCTGGTCACTGAGCCGCACCGCTTCATCAAAAGCACTTTTCGAATCCTTCACACACTGTACAGACCTTTCCACACACACACCGCATCTGAACCCAAAGACTGTGGTTGTTAGATAAACTTCCCAAAAACCTGATTGTGTTTCTGAGGTGTTTGACATTTCTAGCACTAGAGCCAGGAACATGGCAACAGTTGCTAGATGAACAAAGGCCCAATTTAAAAACTCTCATCTACTGTGGGAAGGTCACTAAGGCAACAAACAGCCTTTATATCCTTCACAAGATACAGAAACACATGAAATACAGACACATATACACTAGGGGTGTGCACAAATTGTCGAATAATTGATCTATAAATATTATTAAAAAAATAAAATCACTTAGATTTTTACTACGTGTTGCTTTGCTGGCCGTAAATGCAGGGAGTCATCAGACTTGCGAAGCTTGGAATTAGTTTGATCAAAATGATCTTACTAATTGATCTTACAAAATGGAATTACTTTTGATCAAATGAATCAGTGAAACGGAGTTGTCTTAATATCACCACCACAATGAGAAATGGCATGAAATTCAAACAGCAGTCGACTGATGAAAGACTACTGTCCATCACTGTCAGCCCGAGTGAGCCGAGAAGAGAACTTATCTGACAGCGAAATGATCTTGAGACACATGCTTCCTTTAAGTTCTCTCGGGGAGAGTGCTTTAAGAACAGAAAACACAAAGCGCTGTAAGAAACTTTGCTTAGCACACCGCTATCTTTGTGTCTCTGGAACGTCTGTGTCAGCGCACGTTCTTATTGTTCTCAGACTGAGGAGTCAACTTTCACCCGAGCATGTGGATATTATTGTTTTTCACAACATTAACATATGAAACAATATAAACACGCTTTAGGCCGACTCGAGTGTTTGTACGTTCTGTACTGTAATTGGCATGGTTTTTTTTTTGTTTACACACGTTTTCAGCTAAAAGACAACCTTGAGACGTAACGTTGTTGTAGAACATTGTTGTATATAATGCCTAATCATAAGCTTGTTCAGAAATGGTGGCAAAAACGTATTATTAAAAAAATAATTAACGTCATTTAAATAAACAAATACTAGAATATTAATTTTTTTATGAGTCCAAACATTCAAATACAGTACTTTTGAAAAATGCTCATCCCTAATATACACATTTCATACATTCTTCTGGCATTTTATTATAGTCCACTTGTTAGTCAAAGTTTCTTTCATTGTACTTTAGTTTTACATAACCATTTTCTACAATACAAACACAAGCTGTCATACTAAATAATTATTAATTAGCATTACTCGGAACTTAATGTATTGAGTGGATAAAACGCCCCTGATACAAAGTAAAACAACCCACCAACAACTTTTGATTTAAGTCCACTTGTTAGTCGAGGTTTATTTTTCACTGTAAATTTAGTTTTACACAATTATTTTCTACCATGTTTCTGGACAATATCAAACCGATTGTTTATGCTACTGTAACTTTAAGATAACTTGAGCTAAAAATCAAAAAGTTAATTTAGTTTGTGTGTTATCTTTGAGAATACTGATATTTGGGTGTACCCATAAAAAAAAAAACGGACAAAAAAAATCATTTTATTAAAAAATTAAATATGTATTTAAAAAATTTATTAAATTACTAGAATAAAAAAAAACTCATTTAGAAGTTATTTTAATTTTAACATTTTTTATTTAAAAAAATATACTTTCTATACTTGGTTTAATTTCTATCATAAATTTGCCCCACCTCAGCATTCTATTCAGTAGGAAATGTCAACATGAAAGAAATTACGCTTGTCAACTCATTTTTTAAGGGGTTTAAAAAAATTTATTTGTAAATGGCATCTCTCAGCTAGTCCAGTTGTTGAATATTCAAATACTGAATATTTGAATATGCTGATAACTACCATGACATGTTCAGAATTATCTGTGTTTGCATTTTACTTTTCATAAATGGACTAGAAATTGTGGATTGGGGTGGAGTTTTGTTCTGTGAACATGTCTACAAGGTGGACCACACTGTTTTATTTTTAAAAAGCAAGGAAATGTTGCTTTAAACAAATACATTTTAATACACTAAAAATAATTGATATGGTTCATAAGTAAAAAGGCTAACAGGGCTCCAAACAAAAAAATCAAGTAAGGAGCCATTGGCTCCTATAAGAAAAAATTTTAGGCGCCAAATAATTTTTTTAGGTGCCACAGAATAAACGGGTTTTATTTATTTTATTATTACTTTTTAACTTTTCAATCAAACTTTCATGTGTTTATGTCTCATATTTTCTTGAATTTATCAGCATTTTAATCGATCTTGTAGATCAGTGTTTCCCAACCTTTTTTGTGTCGCGGCACCCTTTGGAAATTTTAACAAAACTTGTGGCACCCTACAAAATAAATTGTCACAATATTTGAATTTCTAACTTCGATATGATCATTTGAAAAGTATAGATATTTGGAACAACAGGGAAGAACTGCAGAATATAATGTCATACAGATATTTTTAATAATATTATTAAAAAATTGTGTCCATCAAAGGTGGCAATCAGTAGGCTAATTTCTAATGAAGAGACCAATTTATATGACAGATTTTAATGTAGGCTTTTATACATATGTAAACATTATTTAATTACCATTATAACTAGCTATCTCACAAATTTTTGCTCACTCAGTGTTTTTTTAATTTTACAGTGGGGGTAATTTTGGTGCAGTAGCACGAGATAGCTTGATTTCAAACTTTGAATTGAATAAAAAATGACAAGTAGTCAGTAATAAAATAAGAACAAATAAAGAAATTAATAATGATAGCACAAATAAAAAATAACAGGCCTTCAAATTAAATAAATAGTTTTTTAGTTTTTCAGGTAGGTCTAACAGTAGGGTTAAGATATTTAAAAAAAGCTATTATTTTTATTAATAGAAAGCTATTATTATCAGAACACATGAGCATAACATAGCGGTTAGCAGATCAGTGAATGAGAGGGCAGCGTTACCAGAGTTGCCCATATACCACACCATGTTACAACACAGTAGGGCTATTGCAGACAGAAACAATACTGTACTACATCCATGTTTCCTGTCGGCTCAATTTTTGAGTGGACTTTGCTGTTCCGATTCACATGAACGGTATTTGAGTGGAGCGACTGAGCGGAGTACACACACGCATAGAGCGGATAATACGCAGAGCGTCACACCACGTGAAAGTGAAACCTGAGCGGTGAACTAATTTTCGGCAGCCGGAATTTCAGTGCATCTCTAATTATTGGCGACATCAGAAATGGATATTATATAATAGATGCTTTTTTGAACATTTTAGCAATTTAAAAATATTTTAAAAAATATTTTTTACACGGCAACCCTGCTCTCGACAGACGGCACCCCGGTTGGGAAACACTGGTGTAGATGACCTGGGAACTAAGCTTCACTTAAAGTGGGAACTAAATGTCTTTTCCAACTTGAAATATATACAGTAGTCAACATTTGAAGTGGATCAAAAATGTTCATCAAAGTTGTCCTAAGACAACAGCGCATTTTGGTTT